AATATGATATGAAACTAATAAAGACATGGTATATGAACAGGTAATACAAGAGTCATTTCTCAAAATGCATTACAAAAATTCCAGGATGAGATGGGAAAAGTCATCAAAGATCCTTACAAAGTAAGATTTTTATTCAGGATGGCTTTGAGAAGAACTCAAATCTAAACAGATAACACTCTGTTTCTGACTATTTTTGGTTCTAAAATATTCCATTAGGTTGTGATGCGCAATACAAAGCTTCCTTTGTCACTTTTAGATGAGAGGGCTAAGGTACTTTTCAAATTAATTTATAAATTTTATACTTTGACCTGGACTCTTTTGTATCCTTAATTCACAATGTAAATCCTGTTAAATGTTTTTAAGCTATCCATGCTGTAAAAATATTTCAAGATATGGTCTACWTACCAAAGAAAAAATCTGTATCTTTGCAAACTCAAGTAATATCCTCTATAAATAGCCTTCTATGTATATCCCAAATCATGACATTTTGATTTGATGCAGACATCACGAGTTCATATACTTGATACAGAGAGCTTTACCACAACATTTGGACCTAAAGCTCAGCGTAAACGACCAAATGTTAAAGCAGCTGATATTCAGGTTAGTGTCATTTTAGCATTGGATAGTCATGGATGTGAACACTTGACTTCTTAATTTATCTAATGAAATATATTATTGATGAATGTTCTTGTAGAGTCTTGCGGWGTCTGCACAAAGTCAATCAGGTGATCTCCAGTATACATATTTTATAATTTATTGATTAATAAAATGCTCAATAATTATTTATTATTTCTTGAAGAATGTTCAAAATTTACCATTATAATCCTCTTTGTATCTAGAGAATTATAAACAGGAAAATGATAAAGATCTAGTCAGAGAGGATAAGGGAGAAAGGTACATGTAGAMTGCATTTTATATGTGTATATTACTTTTGTCAAAGACCCATTTGGTAAAACACATTCTTTCTATTTTAGACCAGAAGCCTTGGAGTCACTCTATACCAAAGGACAGTCAAAAAGAATATGGAATGAGCTTTACAAGGTGAACAAATCATTACCTTAATGAGTACAAACACTAATAGTGTCTAATTACATGTTGTATACAAGTGCAACTAATTATCACTATTTGGYACAGTTTGTTCTTTGTACTCTGCCAYGATTTTGYCACTAGTACTGGCCAGTTCTGATGAAAATAATTTCRAAAWKKCRAWWRWGYAAWYRTG